AAAGATGAATGAAGAAAGAAATCTGAGATATGAAAAAAAAACACCTAACAGGGTTCAAAACATAATAGCATGAAAATAATAGATACTGTAACAAATATTGTAAAGAACAAATAAATAAAGAGAGTAGATACAAAGCCATAAGGATTCTATTTGAGAAATGTTTCAACTTTATATGTCTAAGGACAATGATCTACAAGTGTCCATTTAGTCTAATTTTAAACAAGCACTAAGTCAGTTCTAGAATTCCCTACAATTTGTCTGCTGAATAAATAAAGAATCATGTGCCACTGCAACGGTCAGTCAAAAGTTTCAGAAGTGGCTGCAATCTAACAAACATTTCAGGTAAAGTCTACAAAACTCTGAAAGCCTGACTGTGGGCCTATTCTGTGAACCGTGCATGACTTGCCACACAACGCTCACAATCACACAGTGCTGGTGAAATGATGCTCCGCTGAGTGTCAGCCACATACATTATTAGTTACTTTGCGGCTTGAAATTCATCCAATTTACCCCTGTACTTCACTCATGTCCATTGGTTTTGTCCTCTTCTTTCACAGATGTTTATAATGCATGTTCATTGTTATATTGCATTACTGGTGAATAGCCTGCATAATGACTTGGCTGAATTGAGTTTAAAAATCCAGATAATATACAAGCCCGGCTTGGCATCTTTGCTTTATGCTTGTTAAAAAGGCTGTTAATGCACTGGTTTATGCAAGCATTAGAAACAGTGTGAAACAAGAAAAAAGAGGTAAACAAGGACATTGTCTTGCTGGTGAGGGCAGATACTGACAAAAAACACCTAAAAATATTCAACTACTCAGTGTTGATTTCAAATTTGAAGGTCCAGAGAGTTTAACAGCTCAGATCTTCTGTTTCATGTTGGATTTATGACAGACTTCAAAGTCAAGCTGTGTTTTTCTGACCAATGCTTGTTAGATGTGGTTCCAAAACTCCTACAATCGGAGGTGCACTCGATGAACATAGTGACACTGCCTATACAGGGTTTCCCGAAAAATTAATTACAATTGCATTGCTTTGCTATGGAGGCCTGGGTAAATGAGAGCTGAAGGTGAGGATCAGGGTGTGAAGCGTTTATTCCAACAATGTGTATGCCAGGGGAATGGGGTGTTGAAAGGATTAAGAAATGAAGGGGACTATCCTAACTAGCTGATAATCATTGCCTTTGCTTCATATCTTAACAGGGATTGGTTTGTTTTTTATTAAATCTCCCCCTTTACACTGCTCTCGAGAGGACTTTATCACTTTTATGTGGGTGTGCTTGATTGTCTGATTATTACCACAATTTGGCAAGGCACCCTCCCAATCAACTCCTCTGAGCGCCCCCTTCTATTTGATTGATTTGTAACAGTCACAGCGAACCCTGATGATGGAACGCCTGCCTAATGACCATACATCAAGAGGAAGTGATGAGGGGCGTGCAGAAGACATGTCGCAGGTGCACATCATATAGATCCGCCTTAACAGTTGTCCTCTATTTTGACAGACTGAAACAAAATTATTAATTGTCTTCCAAAAAGAGCGGTTCACTTTTTGATGTACAGTAATGAGATTATTGGTAATGGGAGTCTTGGAAGCAACTCTGACACTAATTTAGTGGCTCTGTCTCTAACTGCTGCAAAGGTCTCCCATCGAATGGGACAGAAATAAATCTGTCAGCAGATCAGCTTGAGAAATTCCCACCTCATGATCAGGCACCATGGGGAAAAGACGGTCCTACGTCTCTAAATGGTGCAGATCTTGTGACATTTCCACAAAAAGACTGCACCTTAGAAATAATGCATTGTTCCACTTACAACCAACATTTGATTCTTCCTGTGTGCCTCACTTTTTTCACCAATTTCTGATTGGTTGCACAGTGACTATTTTGTGAATATTACAAATAAAAACAATCCAAACAAAGAAATACAATTGATCTAAAATGCCACAGTCATATTCTAGTACAGAAAATATATATTCAGCCCTCAGTAATTAAATAAGCACTAAGGAAGCACTGATATACAGTATGTATATTTTATTGTGCTTCTACAGATTCAGAAATCCATATTTATTTCATTTTCATGTGCTCAGTAGAAATTAACCTTATACTCTGTGTATAAAAGCATTATTGAAGGCTACTGGATCTTTTAATAATGTAGCACAAACAAATCCAACCAATCGGAAGTTTGAGTCCCTTTCTCTATATACAAAATAGTCTAATTTGTGATTACAACTTGTTCCATGCATTTCAAAGCGAAAAATCAACCTTTCCATCTTTTTTTCCAACTGTTCTTTTAAAGTATAGACAAAGAGACAGTTGCCTGATTCTGTCACAGCAGAATCCATTTTTAGTTTCATGAATAAAACATTAGGACACCTTTCTTCGAAGTTGCCACTTTGCTCTACAAATGAACACAGGATACAACGAGGGGTAGTCCTCCAGTCTGGGTTGAAGCACCCATTCTGTCAAATACAACCTTGTTTACTGTATAAACTTTCGCTGCAATCTGATATGTGATGATAGCTTGTGGTTTTTTGACCAAGGGTCTGCTTCTTTTTCCCCATGAGATGAATCCTCTCCACCATCCCCAACCTGTCACTGCGGCACATATACATTCAAAGTTTGGGGATTTGCATCACCTGCTGCAAATTACCATCTCATCTGTCACCTGTCTGACGACTTCAAAGCGCCACGCGGAGCTGACTGATATGAAGACATTTACACTTCCCCATTGGGGAATGGGTTGTCTCCTGTCTAGTATCTGGACAAGTCTTGTCCCTTACCCAGCATTTGTGTCTTACTCATGCAGGAAGCTGTCATTTTTCCCAAATGCGTCAGCCCCCCAGAAAGGTGTCACTGGGGATTATTGGATACCTCGAAGGGATTATAATGTTTTTGACAGACTGGCCGCTTCACTTGTTCAAAGAAGTCCCACTATTGTAACTTTTTGTAAGAGTTATCTTAAAAGCAAAACAGACATAAATAATAATCCAGTCTATAAGATTTCCAACAGCTAATTGTTATTTTGTATTGTGTTTGTGTTACTTCATATTCAGCTATCCAGACCTTATCATGCAATCCAACTGATGTTTGTTTTTTGTCAGTTTTTTTCTCTCATGTCCAAATGATTGCCCATTTCATACTGGAGTGTTGTTTCACATATAATAATTACTGCTGGTAATCCCTAGTAGTTGAGCTGCTTGCTAATGTTCAGAGTTTTTAATCAACCAAAGGGAAGGAGGACGGAAGAATAATACAGCGCAATACGTGCGGAGTGCTTTAATCCTCTTCCTCCTTCTCTTCCTCTGCTGCTTTTGTCTAATTAAGGGTCATTCTGTCTCCTGGACACATTAGGACACTGCACACTACTCCCAACCCACATAATTAAATGTTTCTTTGTGCTTGCCATCTGGAGACCTCATCACTTTAAACATGCATGTCAAATTGATTCCTTAATAATGTTTATGTTTCCTCTCAGTGCATTATTATCATTCGGGATTAGCTGTTTATGTTTATTTTGCCTTCACCAGCAGCACCCGTTTCATGCACACACACATAGACACCCCCACACACACACGTACACAAACACACACATGAACACACTCCAATTAAACATACGCAACGTTGGAACCTTTTAGGTTGTAGAAACATGAGCTCAGGAAAGCCAGCACAGCTTACAATCATGAGCATGAAAGAAATGTATCTATTTGAAGTGAAACTAACCACATCTGTCTGTGGTTCTGGTATCAAAAGACTTGCTGAAAAAATAGTTGGTGTGCATTTTACATATGAAACATTGTATCCTTGAAAAATGCAACATTTTTGACAGCACATTGGGATTTTCCGGTTTATTTTGCATCAAACAATGCCAGCTAACACATTTCAGCTGCAAACATCAGCCGCCTCACACAGTTATGTTCAATTAAAACACCAGGTTGTTTCAATGAGCTGACATCTCAAGTGGAAAGTGGATGTTTGCTTTTGTCTTTTTTAAGCCTTTGCCCAAGCATAACATCCCGTTTTTATTTATTTTATTCCCTGTCAAAAGGTAGTTGAAATACATGCATACATTCAGTCAGACAAGTAGTCTGTCTTTCTCATTCTCTTTCTCCAAGTGCAGTTGAGGATTAGTCTTTGCCTGAGTGCCTGGAATAATGATCACTGCAGCGGAGAAACGCATTTTCACATTTCAGGAGATAAGGGCAGGCAATCTGGAAGCAGAGGACTTAACCAGCTCCCTGTGGATTAGGCAGAAAAGTCACCACCAACAGCCAACAACTGGGCTGCATCATACCCAGAATAAGCAGCTAGAACACCCACCACTACATGTTTTCAGTGAGGGGTATCAGACACTCTCAAATGGCACTGAACTTATATTTGTAAAATCATTCAAATAAGCACTGACTTACATGATTCCAATTGTCCCACTATTAGATTTCCTACAAGGGTGCCACATTTTACACCAATAGATCATTTTCAGGTTTATTTTCTATGAACATCGAATCTAATATTATAGTTCAAATAAAGCTTGATGTGGAGAGCTATTCCCAATTTCAAACAATTCCCATTACTGAATAGCTGGTCTCCCAGACTGGAAGATGTGATGAGAAGCACTCCTTAATCATGGAGAATAAAACACTTTTGGACACTGTCAAGGGGAAAGTGCCAGATATAGGTTCTGTCTGGGGGAAAAAGTGCACACATACCCCCCAACAAATGAGACTTGATGTCCCACAAGAGAAGATAATAAAAAGTGTGTATCATGCAGACATAGCAATATACCACAACAGAACAGCTTGTTCCTTTTGTTATACCATTTCACAGAAAACAAGAGGAGGATGAAAAATGCCAAATAAGCTTTTCCACAGCAAGTTCTGTGGATGAAAAGTATCATTTAAAAAAAAGTTAAACTATGAAAAGACCAGGTTCTACTTTATAGTACAATAGCTGTTTTAACCATGAAGAGCAGCGTAGGCCTTTCAGCTCAATGAAATCCTACCTTTCCAACATATTGCGCATCAGGTCCCATGTGTTCTTCTAAAACAAAGAACTGGTTCCAGATCCAACCACGCTTAGGTCTGTGGTGCACCTCCGTCTCCCCATTGGCCAGTTTGGTCTGGTTCTTGGAGGGCACTTTGGTGGGGAGATGGTGGCCTGCCCCATAGCACCTCTGGATGAAGCAGAGGCAGACTAAGAAGGGACAGAGACAAGAGGTGGTGGATATCCTCATGGTGGCACGTTCATATGTGAATGTATCCCTGTGTTCCAAGGCGACAAAGTCCTCCCACCACCGCCACAGCAGCCACCACCAACAGCCACTGCTGCAGACCTATGCCGCGGTCCAAGCGAAATGCTGAATCAAATCCAAACTGTAACGGTCCTGGGAGATCCTCTAAGGGCCATGGCCAGCGCTGGAGGTTTTTAAAAAAGGGCAAGAAACATTTACATTATGGAGCGTCCCAGAAGATAAGAAGCCGTGCAACTGGGCGTGAACTTCTGTGGACTTTTTCCAAGATTAAAGGTTAATCCCGAAAGCCATTCTTGATGTCCTGGAAGAGAGAGCAAGAGAAAAGGGAACAGAGAGTTAGAGATTAATTTGATGGATATTAGAGGCTAAATGTCCACTAATTCCCTCCAATTAAATTGCAACTCATAAATCCTTACAGATGAGGATGTGCACTTCAAACCAGCTGACTGTGATAAATCACAAAGGCAAGAGGAAATCTCGCCTCTGTTTCCCAGACACGCTTGCCTTTATGCAGATAATTCAAATATCTTTTGACTTGAGAGGTTACGTCGTTAAAAGGTTGTCTAAGCCTATAAGGTCAGAAGACTGCTTGGTGGATGATACTGCCCTGAGAGGTCATTCGTGAATCAGAGCTATGAAGTGTTGGCCCAGTGGTTTAAAAGAAATACGGTCAATGGATACTGCAAGTTTAATGTACCTCAAGTACTGCAGACAGTTAAATGTATTCAGAATGATAATAGTCAACATCAAGCCACACAGACATAAATTACAGGACAGTCAAATGTAAAAATTGTAACTTTTTAATCACAATTGTTTAGTACACAATACTTATTGTAATTCAAAAAGTAAAACATTACATGCAAATGCTAGTAAAATAATTTTTGGTCTGCATTCAGGTAAGGCTCTCTCTGCCCTTTAAAAGAATGTGTATAAGAGTTCAGTTTCTGGTTTTCAGGTGGAGCAAAATATGCTATTCAACTATCATCCTTGAAAATGAAATTGTATGAGGCGTTGTTCATTCTACTACTGCAACAGCAAATAGGAATATGCAGAAATGTACTTTTGACAAAATAGACTCAGTTTAAATGCACACTTTATAAGCTTTTGTGTAACTTTTAAACTCTGTTGACGTAGGAGTACTGTCTTTTCTTAACTCTCTCATAAATCATGTGCAACCCTGGGCCCAAACAATTTTATCAGCAACGGATATCTGACTTGCACGGTAAAAGTCAAGCACAGCTTTTAAAAGGAGTTTTGAAAGTACTTCTGAACCATTAATAAATGATCAGCGTACGCTTGTCTAGAAACTACCACTCTGCTTCTGGGTCGATATACATGGTCAAAACAAAACTAGCAGACAAAGGAAAGTAACCAAATCCTTATTTACAAAATATGGCTCAGGTAGAAGTCCTACAGTCAAGATTAAATGAGTGCATCTCTGCTTTCAATGAAATGGCTCCAGACAAAGCAGCGAGAGAGGAGGTAAAGTCGGTTTCACATCGACGTGGATTAAAGCATCGGAGGGATGATTACTCAGCCACACACCAAACATGTGTAATCTGGGAGACGATTCTCATCTGCATAGGTTGAGCTACGCCCAAATCCTTCTTCCTCGGCTTCCTTCCTTTTACTGACACAATGATATCCAGACCAACAGAGAAGTCTACTACACTGGTTGTTTTGAATAAGCTGTCTTAGAGATATACCTTTTTTATCCAGGTATTTTTTTATTATTTAGAAATACAATCAAGCAACAATAAAAACACATTTCTGCAAACTCAGAATGGTTGAGATGGTTGTGGCACTTCAGTGAGTCAAAATGAGAATATCTTTTCCAGTGGTTTCACTCCTGCCTCCTAGGGCTTGCTTCAGTCAGTTCCCTAATTGTCTGATTATCATGCTGATTCAAAGCAAACTACATTTTAGGGAGCCATGAAATCAACAGCATCTGGCTCCGTCAAAGAAAATAATTTCTCGCTTTTTTATGGTGATGATATTGTTTTTAGCGCGCCTCTGCCCACACAGTTTTTTTTATATGTGTTTCATGCCCCTCAGTCCCATGTGGCCTACACTTTGGGCGCAAGAGTGAAATAACAAATTCCAGTCTCATGGGAGGGTCCACCACCACTGGTTAAGCTAAATTAACTGACTCCCTTCTCCTGTAGGTTTTATTTTTTACAGCCAATTCTTTGTGTTTCTTTCGTTCCCTACCCATTTCTGTGTGCCGGTTCATATGCTTATTTAACTTACTGGCTCTAAACGGTGTATCTTAAGTATTAAATAGCAACAAGCAAACAAAAAATGGTCCAAATAACAACCCAAAATGCGTAAAAAGAAAGAAAACCTACTGTTAAAAGTTTCCTGAGTTAATGCTTAAGGGGTTGAAGATGTTCAAAACAGACATTGTTTATCATTTTTGTCATTAAAAATTCAAGGTTGCTTGTTGTAAGAAGGTATTATTTGTTGTTTTTGATAAGCCAATACGTCCATGGGGAAAACAAAAATGACTCCTGGGCTCCAAACAAGTTACAGCTCGTGCAGTTGTGCTCCCATCTTGTGTTATTGCTGTTGTGAGAGGCTCATGCCAGCTAAAACAACACACACACCTAACAGGATGGATAGTTTTGCATTTAGCTGCACTAACTCAGGCTATTATCCCTGGGATCCTTTATAGAGTATTTATTAAAAATAATAACTCAGTATTTCTTATGTATCACTAAAAAGTTTAATTGTCTTTAGGTGAATTTGTCATAGATGACATTGACTTTGCTACAATGATGCTGAGATACATAAAACATCAATTAAATCATAATGTTTCAGATTTTTTATGCTTTTGTCCTATTAATTATATCTGTATACATAACCAGAAGCAAAAGAAATACCAAATCTCTAAATCAGTTTTACTCATACATTAGGAGAACTGCATCCCAGGGACTAAGCTGCCCTTGTAAACAACTTTTAAGACCTCAGCTGATGTAAATCCAACAGTTCATGATCGTAATCACAGCCTCTCATGATACTGCAGTTGAAACCCTTTAAAAATCTTGAAATATTAAGTAGGATGGGAGACTGAGAGACAGAGCAGTGCTGAGAAAGCAACAGAGAGTCTTCTCAATTCAGTGCAACAGAAAGAGCAAACAAGCCTGTGTCATCCGCCACTAATGGCTAATGTTTTGCCCTCCTGCTGTGAGCTTATCCACTGCTTTCGATTTCACATCTTCATCTTTCTACTGATGTCAAACAGCAGATAACAGGGAGGCAGGTCAAAACACAAAACACTGAACCACCATTCCATTCTGAGAACAAAAAGTGCCAGACCGAAAAGGATGACCACGGCCAAAGAGCCTCTTGACTTTTCACCCAACCCGAAAGCAAGAAAAACAAACAATTTCCAACAATTTATGGGGTTTGTTGCCTGTAGTCTGAGGTGAGATTCCCTGTGCCCAAGAAAGTAAACAGTAAGGGATGAAGTAAGGAAGGCTGAGTATATATATATGAGTAGTCCCTACATGCTGCATAATGTTACTCTTGATTCACAGATAAATGAAAAGATACTACATTATCAGAGCTGCTGAAATACATGTGAAAAATCTCCACCTTTTCTAAAAATATGCGCTGTCTGTCTGCATACTTTTAGGTGCGTTGACCCTGCCCAGCTCATTGTTGGTAAAAGAAAGCAGATTAGTCTGATCAGCTTGACAAGTGGGACAATCCTCTAAATGTGTGGTGCACCCTGGAGGTTCCTTAAAATTGGACTAGACAAATAGGTTGAAAGAGACGCCAGCAACTCAGAGGTTTAGTCAGGCACGCCACAGTTTTTCCTCAATGTCATCTTCCTGAAAGACCTAATGAATCATGGCTTTTTTTTGTTCTTCTACACACAAACTAGTTGAACTTTTAAGTCCATTTCTTCCCCTGATTAAGCCGAGTATTTGCAGTATTATTTAATAATATCATTTGTTTGTTTTTTTCTGAGTAAATGGCACCACCCAGAAGGCTCTTCTCAGCTCTCATGCAGTGTGACATACACTGTGCGTGATCTGACTACAAACCACACTTCACAACTGGCATTAAGATACTTGCGTCACATCCGACCACTTGTGATCAGACCTCTGTATCTTCCACAGTATCAGGAATGTTCCTGGGGGACTAATTTTAAAGCATAGTCTTTCTGTCTGTGTGATTCCCCATTAAGTTTAAGTTCCATTTAAAAAAAAAAAAACAGCTTTGAAAAACAGACAAACATTACCCCCCCCTCAATACATCCACTGTAGTCTTAAAATGTTTTGGAGAGAGAGATTTGTGTCTAATTTCCTTTCCACTGCTGCATAGTCTTCTCTTCTGATCTATAACTTGCTTCACACTTACGATTCAAATTCACTTCTAATCCATGTGTTAATTATAAAAGGAAATGCATTTAAGATACTATTAAAAAAAAAATTATTGTCATTATGCCAACATTTAATGTGCAGTAGTACGGCCTATGACCTGTGTTAGGTACACAGGACTATAATTTATACTGTGTACAAAATAACATAAATAGTGCACAGATGATGCAGCCGTGAGCACAAAAAATAAACATGAAGATGAATAAAACATGACTGATTAAATAAATATACGAAAATATGAATAAATAAATAAAAACTGCTGTAGCCCACATCTATTTATATTTGTTTTGTATTGATATCAGCACTGAATTCCACCATTAGGAGCCTACTCTGTAATTCTTGAAATGCTTTCAGAAAGACCCATGATTTCAGCATCATGCTTTTTGTCACATCTTGCCTCCACTTAAGTCTGATCTTCCTCCTCAACGCCTCCCTCCCACGCTGAGAAAAGGCTCCAGCTAAGAAACTCCCACTGTGATGTGGAAAATGTTTGAAACCAAGTGTCCGCAGATGCTCCTGAAAACCATCCGTGTTCTTGTCTGAAATTACAAATTGAAAAAAATAAAATCGCCCAGGATGATGGATGAGATGCGC